ACTCCCAGAATCCCCCAGCCAGCATTCGCTGGCTGGGGAATTCTGGGAGTTGAAGTCCAGACATCTTCAAGTTGACAAGGTTGAGAAACACTGCCCTACAGTACTATCAGTCGGCTAGACCAGGGTAACTGCCAGCTGGTGCAAGAGGCGGGAGAAGACACGGTCGCACCTGAGACGGCCGCCTCCTGCTCCCGACCTATCTTTCAGGCCCCCCCTCCTCCCCCTCCCTCTCCGTCTCCCGGGCTCGGAGCTCCTGGCGCTGCCGGCGCGCGCTCGCTCGCGCCACGCCACGCCACGCCACTCACCCATCAAAGCCCGAAGGTGCTTGAGGCGGGTGAGCGGTTCTTTGCGCGGGTCCAGCGCCTTCTGCGCGGACTTCTTGACATCCGCATGACCCCTCCGCGAGAACATCTCGAGGGCGCTCGAAGGAGGTGCAGCTGCAGCGGCGCCACCACCGCCCCCCGCTTTGTCTTCGCTCGGCTTCTTCTGGACTGACCCGAGTTTCGCTCCCCTGGCCAGTCTCGGGGGCTGAGAGCCGGACGCGCACCAACACAGGGAGAGCAAGGTTGCGAGCGGGGAGGGGGGAAGGAGGAGGAGCTAAGCCCCGTGAGGGGAAATAGGCGGGGCTTGCCGCCGTCGCTGGGCGGGGCATAAAGTAGTGGTCAGAGCAACCCCCACCCCGCCTCCGTTGCCTTTGTGAGAGGCGGCGCTTTCAAGGGACGGAGGTGGTTTCCCTCCTGTATTGCTGGAATATGTTTCATTTTTATATATATATATAAATAAGTGGTTCCTCCTGCGGGGCTGGAAGCTCTAGCCACGCTCATTCGCTTGACTTAAATTTGAGAACTACAAAGTCCAGAGGGCTGGATGGGCGGCCATCTTGGCGGGCGCGAGGTTGTCCAGAAGGCGCAGCCTCTTGCAGCAGAGTCCAGGGAGCGCTTTGCGTGTTACGTTGCTCCTGCGGGCGCCGGCAACTTCTTATTGTGGCCTTGATATGAGCCCCGCAAACGAAGCCAGGATGAAGAGTACTAAATTACAGGGATTTTCTGAATGGTTAACTAGATATCACGAACTGTAAATTCAAGAGTTGTGCGGAGGTTGTTGAAATGGATCTTAAAATTGCACTTTGTTTTTTCTAGCTGCCTCTGTTGGGAATAAAGTGCTCAAAATCATTACATGCAATCAGACGTCAGAAGCAGCTGAGCTCCCGGCCAGTAAATGTTTGCTTGAGAGGAAGTTTACACCGTATATTTTGCATTACAATTCCCATGATTCTCAATTGGTGTATCTGGAGAAGGTTGTTTTTCATTGCAAAGGTGAACTGTACTGGGCGTTCGAAGACCTCTAAGGAATTTAGAACTCTATAGGACTCTTTAAGAAGGAATCTGATTTCATTTCTAGAAATTATATATCATTCCTTCTTTAAAAAAATTAAAACATTTTTTTAAAAAAAATGTAGTTTGCAAATCAAACTGCTTGTTACCCATCACCATAAATCAGTGTTTAGTAACACTGTATCAGTAAAAAGCATTTTTTTTAAAAAAAAAATGTAGTTTGTAAATCAAACTGCTCGTTACCCATCACCATAAATCAGTGTTTAGTAACACTGTATCAGAAAAAAGCATTTTTTTTAAAAAAAAAATGTAGTTTGTAAATAAAACTGCTCGTTACCCATCACCATAAATCAGTGTTTAGTAACACTGTATCAGTAAAAAGCATTTTTTTTTTAAAAAAAATGTAGTTTGTAAATCAAACTGCTCGTTACCCATCACCATAAATCAGTGTTTCTCAACCTTGGCAACTTGAAGATGTCTGGACCTCAACTCCCAGAATTCCCC